CGTACATTGATGGCAGCGAGCCCTCCCTACCAAGTCCCGAGTCAAGGCCAACACTCGGCGGATGCAGAGCTTTGGTCTCGTAGCCATGAGCTGCCACCGCGCTCACAATCCCCTCGTAGAGGACTGGGAGCGCAAAGGAACCAGGAACCAGGAGAATCGAAGGTTTGTCCATTTTTGGAGGTGAGCGGTTGTAAGATGAAGGGTGGAATGCACCCTGGGGGATGAGAATGGAACATCTTATCCGCGTTCGATGTAGTATTTGGTAGATGCCAACTTGGCAATACTATATTTCCAACACTCCCCGCAAATGGCTGCATTGAAAAGCGAGTATCACGAAGCGAATGTAACAAAGCCAAGATAAGGCCAGGCTATTGCTCAAAATATTCAACGCCGTTTGACTACAATGTGTTGGATCTATAACTATACCTATAATCGGAATGTCGTATACTATAATGCACATAAGCATTCACGACCCTTTCACATGTATGGCATGAAGTGTAGTCTCAGCGCTGCGCGCAGCTTACCTGACATGCATGATCTTCTGTTGTCCAAAATTCGACATAACCCTTCGATGGCAGTACCAGCCGCACAAGCATGCATGAGGCCCAGATTACCCCAGTCTCCAAGCCCATTACTCTTGCACAGGGTTTCCCCCGACCTTCATCATAAAGCGCCAGGCTGCTCGTAGATCTCCGGGAAGGCCGGCTCGGGAATCGTCCCGTACGGAAGCAGCCTGACCATGTGGCGCCTCTCGCCGTCCCGGAAGTCCGGCACCGCGCTGTGCGCCGCGCTCCTCTGGTCCCACACGACGACCGACCCCTTCTCCCACCGGACGCGGCAGCCGAAGTCGAGGCTGCGGATGTGCTCGTGCAGGAACCTCAGCAGGGCCTCGGACTCCTCCGGGAGCAGGCCCTCGACCCGGCGCGCGATGGTCGGGTTCACGAACAGCGAGGGCCGGCCGCTGACCGGGTGCCGGATCACCAGCGGGTGCGTCGTCTTGACCGCCTCCTTCAGCGCGCGCTCCTGCCCGACCCGGGCGATCTCCCCGACGGAGGCCGAGGTGTGGAACAGGGACAGGGGCGCGAGCAGACGCTGGAAGGTGGGGGAGAGGGCCTCGTACGCCGCCGTCAGGGACGTGAAGGCGGTGTCGCCACCGCCGGACTCGGGCATCTCCAGAACCCAGAAGAACGTGGTGGATGGTACGTTCGGTGTGAATGTCTGGTCTACGTGCCACAGATCGTAAGCTGTATGCGGACCTAAGAGGGTCCTCAGGTTGCCTCTTTTATTCTGAGGATTAGTTTGATGGAATGAGAAGCGAGGAACTGCGGTATCTTACGCGGTCTCATCGGCATATACTACGTGGAATTCTGGGCCCGTTCCTTCAGGATATCCCATCGTTGGGTGCTGGTGAAAAGAGTAGCGTTAGCTAATATTTGAACGTGCTTTATCCATCGTGGTGCCTTGCCTTATGGAGAGGGCCGTAATGCTTGGCCAACTCCAGTTGTTTGTCGAACCCAATGTCAGCGAAGTCCTGGTCTCTCTGTACTTAACATGTTAGCTGAATTCGTGGACTCCTTGATGATGGAACTCACGAAGACAAGGACCCCTCTTTCTGCGGCGAGTAAAGCAACTTCATCCAGTCCCTCCTTGGAAAGTGTGCTTAACTGTATGCCCCTGATTTCTGTCCCAATCCTAGGTGTGATGTTGGTTGCTTCTACTCCAGTTCCAAGAAGGTGGGGCTTAGATGGATTTGCCCGGGTACCGGGCTCGTCCCCATCAAAGGGGGGCACGTCTATAGTCGGAGTAAAGCCATCTGGTCTAGTCGGGAGGTATGCCGGATACAACGGCGTGGAACTATGTTTGGTTCCTGTCGACATAGTTAGAATGATATTCGGTGATGATCTATGCGTACATAGTAATTCGGTATTCCACTGGCGTAAGAATCGACAACCTTTCAGGCAGCATGGCCATTCCACGGCAGGCGACGCGCAAGTATTATATCCACCCTTCACCTCTTCAAATCAGGAATCAATAACAGCCCTCAAACGTGCGACTGTACGATATCGGAGCGTCTTCGTCCCGGCCCGGCCTCGAACAACCCGTAGGGGTGCGTGTTATCTGCATAGTATACCCCACATTCAATGACACCATCAACACTGGGAAAGATGACATGGAGAACTATTCCCAAATCAAGAAACTGCCCTTGTTCGTTCCGCTTCGAAAATAATTCGAGGAACTGTTGTGGTAGAATGCGAACACTCTCAATTGGGGGTTGGAAACAATTTGGCGTCTTGAACATGATCAGTCGGGAGTAAGGGCTATGGCTCCTATGTTACTGCCATGTCGAAAGGACTCGGGTTTCGGCCGCAAATCGAGCATTACAGTTACCTCGCATGTCTTTCAGCTCTAGATGGAGACAATATGAGATGAGCGTATGGAGTCAAGAAAGATGGATTCGCGTAGGATCACAGCTAGCTGTCGTCGGGAAACTGCCCGCTATCCTTGGCGAACCATTTGAGCAAATCTAGATCGAGAAAGCTGGTGCTCGCATGGGACATTTCCGGGTTTGAGGGGTCCAAGCCGCCAAGCTGAGTGTTACGACATCTCCGCTAGGTCTTGTGTCATGCTAAATAAGCCCTGGCATTCAGTCGCATTTCATTTACGATGAATCTGATAGGGTTAGAGGGCACAACATCGTAGTACGAGATTGTAACATGCGGCAGAGATCTTGAACACGCTGCTAGCCATATGCGATGCCTGGAATATCTATAATTAACCGAACGCAGATTTGCATGGCTCTCTTCAGGTTGACATAAGAAAAGTCCAACTCCTTTGACGTGGGCGAACCGATTGGGGATATCGTATGTCTGGCTACCACAATCTGCCTCGGACATAGCTCTAAGGACCATCACAGCCCTAGTCATCTTAAGAATGTCCGTCACGGTGGATGTAATAGGTTCTTACGAGCCATCTCGACCCAGCCCGTCGTTACCATGGCTCGGTCGAATACACCCGTATTTCAAGGATCCGGAACACGTACTCGTCCTCAAGCTCGACGTTTTGTTGTTGGTGTGGGCTTTCATCGCCGGCTTGCTCAAGGACATGGATCAGTCGGGCACCACCCAAGCGTACGTTTCCGGCATGAAAGAGTCCCTATCTCTCTACGGCAATGAGCTAGTCGAATTCACCACGTACTTCTCGATCGGTTATGCCATCTTCATCGTGCCATCGCAGTTGGTGCAAACTCGAATACGCCCATCTTTGTTTCTGCCAATATGCGAGATCATCTGGGGGGCTGTCACGCTCGCAACATACAAGGCACCGAACGCAAAGACAGGTAAGCAAACCACCAGCGGAGGACGGACATCTCCTGATATTCGTCGAAAGACCTCTGGCAGTTACTCTGCCCATCCCCACCCCCCGTGCCTATGATAACCAAAATGCTGACCTGACCCTCGATTCCGGCATCCGCATCCGCAGTGTATGCGCTCAGATTTCTCCTGGGTGTGTTCGAGTCGACCTCGTGGCCCGGCATCGTGAACCTGATCTTCAACTGGTACACGCCGCGGGAGCTCGCGAAGCGGCTCGCCATCTTCGGCGTCAGCGGCGTGGCGGGGAGCATGTTCCTGGGCGTGCTGCAGGCGGCCCTGTACCAGAACCTGGGCGGGGCGCGCGGCCTCGAGGGCTGGCAGTGGCTGTTCATCGTCTCGGGCCTCATCACCATGGCCTGGGGCTTCCTCGGCTTCCTCGTCATCCCGGACGCGCCGGCCATCACGCGCGCGGCCTACCTGTCCGGACCGGAGCGCGCCCTGGCGCACGCGCGGATGGCGCACAGCGGCACGGCCACGGCCGAGCTCGTCAGCGCGAGGCTGCTGCTGCGCAAGATGCGGCTCCTGTTCGCGAGCCCCGTCGCGTACCTGTTCCTGGCCGCGTACCTCCAGTTCGCCTGGTCGCAGCGCGCCAACTCCTACTTCCTGCTGTACCTCAAGGCCGTGACGGACGCGTCGACGGGAGAGCCGCTGTACTCCGTATACACGGTGAACCTGATCCCGCTTGGCGGGTACGGCCTGTCGATCGTGAGCAATGTCGGCCTGAACGCTCTGAGCGACTGGAAGGGCTGGCGCTGGCAGGTGTCGTGCGGCGCTGCTGCGATGCAGCTCGTGTCGACCGCGGTGCTGGCGGCGTGGCCAGATTCCCACGCGACCATCATGGCCTTTTACTTCCTGACCTTCACCACGGCGGCGTGGGGCTACGCGCTGTTGGCATGGCTCGCGGAAATCCTATGTAAGGAGCCCGAAGCGCGGTCTATCATTGTCGGCCTGGCGGTGACTTTGGTCTACGTGGGGCATGCCACGATTCCTTTGGGCGCATGGCGAGTCAGTGATTCGCCGAGATATCCGATCGGGTTTCCCTTGGCCGCAGCGTTCTGTGTTGGTAGCGTCCTGGCCATGCTTGGGATCAGATATTATGTCCACAGGCATCCGGAGATCTTGGAGTACGGACTGGAACGGAAAGCAGCAGGCCAGACTGACACTATGGTGGAAACAGTAGACAGCAGCCAGTCAGGCGATGAACAGGAGCAGAGAAGCTCCTCCAAAGTAGGCAGTCCATACTAGCGATCTAGGCGCTGTTAGACAAGTTATAATGAGTTAAACCATAGATTGAACAATATTCAATCGCCCGGCGACTGGGAAGCAATGAGTCTAAGTCATGGCATCCCACCACGGTCCAGGAGTGATTGCTTCTCAAGGAGGCCTGTCATTGATCATTATCAAATTGGTGATAGTGAACTGCCGCAAAATGCATGTGCATGATCATAGTCATGATCGTAGTCCGTACATCGTGACCAATCGAAACGTCTGTCTGGTGCTGAATTTTTACCCCTAAATCTTTAGGGGTGACGATGTGGATCCCGACTATAGGCGGGGAAGCTTAGCCGGTCTACCAAGCCGGCGATTCCGAGCCAATAGTTATACTGACTTAATTCGATTTGCACTCACGGTTGAATAGTCTAGTTGGTTAGGACGTGGGATTCTGATGCGAGAAGCTCACCATTCCCGAAGCTCCGGTTCGAGTCCGGGTTCGACCTCAATCTTTTGCTATTTTTTGCTCTTTTTCTTTTCTTTCTATCAGTGAATACAGCAGCTCCCCCTATTGGTCCCTTTTGTCAAAGTTTTCAATGTCGATAATCATGAGACCACTTCACTCGTTCTTAATATGTATACATCACGAAAGTAAGAACTCATATGCGCGCACTATCTCGACGAGTATTTGGTATCGGCTAGTAAAAAGGGGTAATAACTCTGCGGGGGTAGCATTCGACATGGGCAGATTTACTACTACGATGTTAACGAGGAGCAAGGGCTAACTATATGATATGCGAATAAAGGAATGAAGAAATATCTGAGTTGCACTTCTAACCTTCTAGGACATGTCGTGTGATAAAACAGTCATAGCTCTATAATCTGCCAGTCTTATTTCTTGCGCGACATGCCCAATGTAGCCATCATCCCATGCACCATCCGCATTATAGAATCACCTACTTACTGAGGAAGTAGACTAAGGTAGTACGCCGCAGTATCCTTCACCTGCTCCTCGAAACTCTTGAACTCAATGCCAAAGGCCTTTTCTGCCTTGGTGGAGTCCAGTTTGATAGGAATCGTCTGCACCGTAACCTCTTCGGGGAACACCTTCCCAACAGCCTCAGGAAAATTCTTCTTGATCACCGGAATCGCCTCCGACCAGTCGGTTCCACTCCGGTCCAGTAGGTATCTCCCTGCAGGGACGGAAGGCTTGAGAGAGTCGACATGGATCTTGGCGACGTCGTCGATGTGTACCGATATCGTCAGGAGAGGCTGCTTGGACTTGCCGAGGATGTGGTTCACCAGGAGCGCGTTCGACCCCGAGTTGAACGTCTCCGGGTCTCGCGCAAGCTTGTTCGGTCCGAAGACGAAGGAGGGCATGAGGAAGACCACCTCGTAGCCTGGATTCTGCGTCTTGATGTAGTTCTCTGCATAGTCCAGCGCCATGCTCTTGCTTGCGGCGTACGCGAAGAGGTGGTGCGCGAACTCCATGTCCATGTCATAGTGGCACGTGTCATCGTCACCTGCGATGGTGTCAGAATGCACTGGTAGCAGGTAAGATAGGTGGACATTTGCTGCTTACTGCGGTAGATCTCTTTTGAAAGCTTGCCCGTGGCAAATTCTGCTGGCGGTATGTAGGGTGACAGAGACGATGTGATCACCAGGCGCTTGATGGCTGGGAACTTTGCTGCAGATTCAAAGACATTTTTGGTCATGCTCAGGGCTGGCTTGAAGTAGTCCTCCTTGTAGTTGGTTGACTGTAGGCAGTAGTCTTGTCAGTCCACGTCTCATACCTTGGGCAGCGTGTCCTTGCGACTTGCATGACTTACAGGAGCGGACTGAGGAGACGCCACATGGATGACATAAGTCACCCCCTTGAACGCATCGTCAAACACGCCGTCGACTGTTAGGTCTGGTATAGTTATGAATTCAAGCTGAGATTGGAACTGCGCAGGGAGGATCTCCTTGATGGTATCGACCTGGGACTGCTTTCTGACAACACCGCGGACATTGTACCCGGATTCGAGGGCGGATACTAGTGTTGCGTAGCCAAGGAATCCACTGATTCCAGTGATCTATAAGTAAACCCAGCGTAAGTTGACTGGATTGGACGTGGGTCACAAGTGATTAGCTACTCTGGAAGTGCACCTACCAATACAAGCTCTCCAACCATGGCGATATGAGTGTTGCAAGGATTTCTAGAATAGAGAGTAGATGGAATAATAGATGTGAATTAATTCAGTTTTCGGTTTATAATAATTCGAATGATCCAATGGTAGGGTATGATTCTACATGATATGCACGATTCAAACATGATGCCCAGGTCACTGTTATATCTAATAGCAGGTCTAGCCTGCTCTCCTATTGGTTCGAGGGGAATGAAAGCGGTTGCTCCGGGGCGGCGTAATCCTGCAACGTAGGGTTGGAATTCGGCCTGTTATTTACCCATGGCGCTGTAATTGCTCCGCTCCGAACTCCTATCCTGGGTAAAGCACGCAGATCCAACCCCCTTGAATTGTATTGACACGACACTGAACGTATATGCACACTCTGCCGCCTCCCTTGACTCCTTGATGGAACGCAAGAACCCCAGTACATAGTATTATCGTATGGGTTGGTAGAAATTACTGATAACTTCGGTACTGCATCACATACTAACTTGAGCAATCCTGAAATAATAAAAGTGCATGTGTTACAAGGTGGGTTTAATCCAGTAGGTGTGTCAGCAGGTTCCCCTTGCTCTTTTTATTGACATCGTGAAGAGGTAGGTACTGTCATAAGAGAAAACGGAAGAAGAATCACGCCGGGTCGGCATTCCCACGTCAGACCTAGCTGGTCCATAACGCTGGTCATGGCCATCTGGACGATGGCGATAATGTTCGCTTCCTCTGATAGCCCCACTCCCAGCTCACGCTAATCGCTCGGAAGTAGCCAATAACATCTCTTGCTGCCCACCTGGGCTTTCCGTTTCAGGTAACGAACGAATCGGCTAGCTTAACCGAGCCGAAGTTATGCTACCTAGGATTTAGGGAGCTAGGTAGGTAGTTAGGTACCAGTATAGAGCCATATAGCATACATGCTTAGCAAGACACACCTTCGCAATAAAGAGTTCCCCCGTGCGCTGTGCCGCACATCTAATGTTGATGCCGTTGGCTACGGCAAGATTGATGTCGTGCCCTGTGTGCTTGTCAAGACCCGCGTCCCGATCAGGGCTGTCGTGCACGGGATCGCATCCAACAGGTTCGCACCCCTTACCCCTTTTTAGAACCACCCGGGTCATACGGCTCTATTCTAGTGCCAACCTCTGTTAGTGGCTTGCAATAGCAAAAGCTCCGTAGTTGTAACTTCCCCTATTAATGGACGAATTGACGAAATCGCCAACCAGAGCTCTGAAGCTCGAGTTGCTGCGATTCGGCAAGCATATGCCAATGCTGGCATAGCATACCTAACGAGACAGCGTAACTCGGAATGCCACGACACTGGTATGAGGTTGGTGCCCATACTGAGGTCTGGGTTCTAGGTTCCGTGCGGAGACGCGTTCTGCAGGCCAACCACTTCTCATCCGCTCAATAAAGAGCAACGTTAGTCACCGCCATGCCCTGGCCTGATGCAGGGTTTGCCCTACTCCAGGCTAGTCTCAAATCCTTCGGATACAGAGACTCCAACACCCACGCCATCCTTGAACAACCTAGTTCTGACACCAGACAGTTCAACGTGTCTTCCTACAAAGCCGCAGACTAGGAGGACGACTTCGACGAGAAGGAGCCGAGTAAGAGGCCCTACACGCTCGTGGTATTTGCGAACGACGCGCACTCTCTCAAGGGTGAAAATCAGGCGCTGCTAAGACCAACATGGTGTCCCCGGTACGTTTTGCCGGAGGTTTCAAGAAGCTAAGCATAGAAGATGTGCCAAACTTCATTATCGAGGATAGTCCAACGGGAGCACTGGCTGGTCCGGTTTCCCAAGTCCTCAAGACACTTCTCAGTGGTGGATATAATTCGTACTGTGCGTCTTGGTCCCGTGGCGCCAATACTGGCAAGTCTCTATTCGACGTCGGCGGTCGCCTCTTCTATGACCGGCGCTCCCATTGAGCTCTCTCACTTGTAAACGGATTTGATAGCAGCAAAGTTCGCAGCATTGTGGATCAACCGGACTACTCCTAGAACCATACAGCCATACTGGCACGAGACCGCGGCTAGTAAGGGCTAGAGGAGCAAGAAGTTCATCACCCACGACTTGCTTGGGGAGATGATACCCGGCATCGGCTGGGAATCCCCAACTTGGCGCAAGCATCTCAACTTTTCCGAAGTCCCTTGGCTGCGTGACTACAAAACGGGGCCCAACGTCTTTGATCACCGGTGCTGTTCTTGCCATTCTCGCTTTGGAGGCCATATAGCAGAAATACTGCGCCCTCGACCCGGGTGAAGCAGTCTCCTCGCCAAATGAACTGGCGTGTCTCAGCCGAAACGTCAAGTCCGATCATGCCTTTGTCGTAGAGGAGGGTAAGGCAACAACGATATTGGTCAAACTGTTCAAGACCCGATTGATGATGAAGAGACTTTTGAGGGTGAAGAGCTAGCATCCTGGAGGTACCCTTGATCGGCCAAGTTGTGCTACAAGGCACAGGCCAGGTTGGCATGGGCTTTGGTCCGACCTTCCAAAAGATGAAGAGCATCAAATCCGTTTCGGGGAGGACTTGCCACACGATAATCTCGAATGGAGTCACCACCCTCGAATGGGATCCCCGGTCCCACTGCCCTGTTCATCCTGTCGTGTTGGATGGCTGCCTCCAGACAGCCACTTCCGCGAACGCTGCAGGCCAACACAGTCTGATGAAGGACACCATGATTCCTGCTCCAGTCGACGACTTGGTCATCAACAAAATGCCGAGGCACACTTCCGAAGGTTTGTTGGCCGCAGAGTCCATTTATACTGACTATGGCCGCCCTGACGTGGCGAAGAGCTGAATCGCAAACATGACCATCCACGACCCCCAGAACGGGGCTTTGCTCATGAGGAAAAGGGGGCTCAACTATATCCGACTAGATGTAGACAAGCAGCCTGACCTGTATGTCTTCCGCCCTGTTACGTGGAAGCCCGATATCTCGCTTCTGACCTAGGATCAGCTTATATATCTTTCGCTTTCCGACGAGACTTCGACTCGGCCGTAGTTAATATTGTTTCGCCGAAGACGCCCACCCCAAAATCCCCTAAGATTAACCTCGTTCAAGCAGACACCTCTATCCTATTACAAGGCACAGAAAGTTGCCTAGAGCAGCCTATGCCTCGTACGACTTCGACTCCCCCAATGTCAAAACCTTAGTAAACGTTTCAATCCACTATCGAATCGGGGAATACCACTGATCACTCGATACGCTCCCGGGGCTCTAGCAGGCGCCCACGCACCACCGTTCCAGAGACCCCAGACACACCCTCTGAGGCATCTGGTTCTGGCAGCCAGTCACCATCCGTATCTGATGAAACACCTTTTTGTTATTTAAGTTCG